ATATCCTTCATTTGGTTTTTGAAACTTTCAAATTGCCCACTCATAAATTCAATGGATTCTAGTAAACTTTCAATAGTAGTATCCGAGAAAGAGCTAGTTTTGGGGTTGACAGAATCTTTAATATTTTTGCATTTGGAACAGTTCCATAATTCTTTAGACTCGCTTTTAATTGTTCGATATATATTTTCTCTAAGCCCTGAACAACCAAAATGCAAAAATCCATTGCATTTATTACATTTTATCTCGTCTCCCTTGAAGATTTCTTCGTTGCAAATTAAACAGATCATTATTCACACAAATATTTGTTAAATTAATATACACTTGAAAAACCACTGATAAACAATAGGTAACAACTATAGAGACATCGACCGCACGCGACGGAGGTCAACTGATAACTGATTATATAATAATAGTAATAATAATAATAATAATAATATACACTAATAAAAATAAGTATATTTATTATGTTATATTTTATTAGTACTTTTCATTTATAATTTATTAGGTCTCACACTATTACTAATACACTACTACACTACTACACTCCTAGTTACTATAAGTACTATTAGTTTATTACCTACCCCTCAACCTGTTGACCAAATAATGCACATTTATTGGTTATACGATAAGATATATCATGAGACTTCTTATTATTTACACAGCAAGTTAATAGGTCAACGATACTCCTTTCGTTAGGATATTTAAACATTTTCTTATTAAAAAATAAATTTGTTTACCAAAACCAATCAAAAATTAAAACTTTTACCATTGTAGGTATTATAACAATTCAGATGCCAAACCCTATGCGTTATGCCTTATACCTGTAGATATAGACTATAAGTAGGTACAAATAACTTACATAATTTATAATTATCATATTGTGCTCCAGTTAACACGCTGTGTTCATTGTTATACAAATCAGTTTATTGTTTAAATATAATTTTTGAATTATAAATTAAACCACGATTAGTTAAAATGTATTTATTTTTTAAGCCTTATATATTATCGAGATACGCTGATATACGTAGCACCACATTTTAGGTGGACATTGTTTTCAGGTGAAGTTGGATGACACAGGTACTTAATACAATATAATATGGATGAAGTTCCGGAATCCTGATTGTGGAATGTACAAGTGGACGATGGTGGTAAGTGGCTGATCTAGAATGCATTATTTAACTGATTATATATTTAAATAGGCAGGTGTGTATATATTTGTATATATAGTAACTGGCAGCCGCCAACGCAACGCCGACGCCCCAATGATCGTAAGAACTTTTTAACTGTTATTGTACGTATAATAATTGGCATAGGTAACTAGATTTAAAATATAATATATAATAGATCAAACCATTTATTATCTTTTGGTAGGTTTACTTTTACAGAATAAAATAAAGACAACACCCGTGTCGTGACATGGGCGATGATTGAAGGAGTCGATCTTCGATTGAATTATATTTTATATTATATCCGGTGCCACGAACGTGGCGTGAACTAAGTAAATAACATATATAGCCGTGGCACGACAGTGTATATTTATATTATCTCAAAGCAGGATTCCAAAAAATAACACTTTATCGAACTCCGTGTAAAAAACGGCCAAATAAAAAAAAATACTTCTTTAAGTTTTTGTTGTGATTATATTATATCGTGTACGGACGTACGTTGTACCTATACTATATTTTTGTATTAACCAGCTGCAGACGCCTACTCCCTATAAACTAACATGTATGGCAAACAAATATTTTTAATTATTTATCCATTTGCACTTATACGGGTTGTATTTAGTTCATATTGGGCGACTTAAAGTGGAAATCCCAATTAACGCACGTATCCCCTGCACAACCAGACACTGAAATCTATACCACGGTCCTTAACACGATTAAAGATAGGATGGTTGCACAACGAACCATAATAAAGTGATGCTCCGAGTTTTATTGGTAGGTATCACAACGACTAGCGCTCCAAGCATTTAAATATTAAATCATATATTCAAATCTTATAATTATATGCCTAGTAGTGCTTAGTACTTAATTTTTACTCTATGAGCGCTAGTAAAAGTTTCTAGAGTATCGTTGATAATAAAAGAAACTATTAGCATCATTAAATTGTTTCTTCTCATAGATCGTTGGGCAACCATACTATCTTTAATCGTGGTCCTTACACAACATTAACTTTTGGTTACATCTTATATTAATATTTTAAAATCCATGCGTTACGCTTAAAATAAAGAAAACCAAATAGTTTCTTTCATGAAATATTGTTGTCATAAAATTATGGTCTGGTCTAATCTATTAGTATCTATGCAACACATAGATCCCTGCATTTACTTTTCAGTGATCGATGAATGACGAATGTAGAGGCGTGACAAAAAATAGTATGTGTGACTCGTGCAGTAAGGCAATTTGAGTCTTGGGTGAAATGCTGCCCTCGCCTGTGACAGAAATAGCTCACTTCTTGCCCTTGCCACAGAACATACTATTTATATTGTTTCAAATATAAGATAACATCAATTATTTATTTAAAATATAAAGCATAAAATATGATACACTCAGAAATCAAATACAGCTTTTTTTTTTAAATATAAATAGAAAAAAAACAATATGCATCATAAAATAAAATGTATTCTTTTTATTAAAACATATAATCATAAATTATATACATATATGTATATGTTACGGGCAAAGTAAACCATTTGGGCATTTTATATAATGTCCGAGCAATGTATAAAATGTCGTTCATATATTGGGCAATATAGATAACGGATGATATGATTCAATGAATATGATATTTAATCGTAAAGCATAGTTAAAACAAAGTTAAATTATTATCTGTAGCATGTTTATTTGTTCTTATCGGCATTATTAAGATGGGGCAGTCCACATATTATATGTTACATAAAATATTATAAGTTATATTATATTATGTAGTTGTAGTGCTTATCGTGAAATGTAACAATCGATCTTTTACCTATTCTCGAAAAATGAACTATTTAGTAACTATGAATCGTTTGTATAGTGTAGGTTAATAGATTCAGTTGAGTATTCCTACTGATTTGAATATGGAAAAGTTTAACGAAGATTTAAATAGTTAGCTAAAAAAAAAAAAGTTCAAATACTTAATTGTTTACCAAGTTAAAATATGATCAATTAATTTCACATATAAATAAATTAAAGTATAATTTTAAAAAAGGAACCAATTGATTATAAACTTCTAAAAAATATGACTTGTTAAAAGTTTCTGATGTTGACAAGTTAATTGTACCAGTAACTGAAAACAACGAAATTAAATACTATGTACATAATGAAGAGTTATTTTAAATTATACACGATGTTCATTTATCGATTGGACATGGTAATCGAAACAGAATGGAGTACAAGGTAAATACAAAATACAAAAATATCACCAGAGATATGATTATGCTATATTTAAATAGTTGCGAATCGTGTAAAAAAAAAAAGAAGCACAGCCAAGAAATTATTGGTGGTGCAACCAATTATATCTTCTGAAATGAATTCCAGTTCGCCAGGTAGACCTAATTGATATGCAAGCACAATCGGTTGGTGAGAATAAGCTTATACTTATTGTCTGGTTTACCAAGACCAACTCACAAAATATATACTTTTTCGACCGTTAAAACACAAACTCGCCGAAGAAGTTGCTTAGGTATTATTAGACATTTTCACAACTTTCGGAGCACTATCGGTTTTACGACTGGACAACGGTCGAAAATTCGCAAATCAGGTTGTAAATTGTAACTGGAATATGTGCGATGTGACCAGAACATAAAATAGTTCGTGGCAAACCTCGTCACTCACAGAGCAAAGGTTCAGTCGAACGGCTAACCAGAACCATGAAAATATTATTGCTACTTGGTTGCAAGACAACCGTCTTAAAAATTGGTGTGAGGGGATAAATTATATCCAATTTATGAAAAACCGTTCATTGCATTCATTAATAAAATGTTTGCCTTATAAACAAGGCAATTAACAATCATGAATATTGACAATATAAAATGAAAAATATTCTCGCAGACGAAAGCAAAAATCCAGACCATAATTATTAATTAATACTATTATTCATGATCCGTGGTAACTTTCAATTAAATAAAAAATAAAAAAATAACAAATTGATTATTGAATAAAAAGTTTTATTAAAAAAAAAACGATAATTATACATAAACATTTTTTTGGCTTTTTTGGCTATTCAAGGGCCTAAAACTTCATGGACCTAAAAAAAATAATGAAATGCTAAAAAATACGATTAGCTTGTGTTACGTCTATATATATATATAGTTTGTGTATATCATATATTTTATAAATTATAATATAGTTGATTTTATTAAATTAATTATATTGTACTGTATAAAAGTTTATTTATTATTATTATTATTACGAAAATAGTGTTTCAAATATAATATTATAGTTATGTTTCAAACTATAATTTCAATAGTATTATAAATACTAAAATACACAACTAATATTATGTTTATTATGATGTTATGATATACATGTTTTAGTTATGTAATTTTAATGCTTTTGAAATAATATTTGTATTATCATGGAATAATAATATATTAATAATTTTATGATTACGGAAATGCTACCTGGGAACAATATTCTGAAACAAAAAATTTAAAAATAGATGACACACACACAATTTTATTTTATAGTTATTTTATTTTTAAACTTCGAACGAAATTATATATTAAAACTAAGAAAACCGATTTCAGTTAAATGTTTGTAATTGAAAAATATTATTAGGGGTACATGAAGCTTTTAAAATGTTTTATCATATTATATACATAATATTTTTCCGGCAAAAATGTATTTAAGTAGTTATTTTACTGTAGAACTAATGCCTAATAAACTTTCATCATGTTTTGATTAACAGATAGCACCTAACGTAATAGGAAGTAATATGATAGGATATACGCAAATAAGACGTTTTGAAGCATTAAGAAATATTTAGTGACAAAACTAAGGATTCGCTCCAAAGTACTAAACGATTGAGGTTAGAAGAAGACTAGCATCATTTTCATTAAGAATACGCATAAAAAGTTTCATGTCATAGGCAGATATGAGAAGGTGTGCGTGACGTAAGACAGAGGATGCACTATTTACAAGGAGAGAAAACAATAACATTGAAAGAATAGCACCCTGTGGCACACCAGATGAATTACTAATGATGTTGGAAATACGATCGTGTAATTTAACAAATTGTTTACGATTTGTCAAATAGGATGAAAACCAAGAAAGAATTGGTTCTCCGAAATCATAATTAGATAAGATCTTAATAAGAATATTGTGATTTACTTGGTCAAAGACCTTAGTAAAATCAGTGTATATAGTATCACTGAGCATGTTTAAGAACGAATCAAAGATAAATGAACTGAAAACTACAGTACAGGTACCTGTTGATCTATCTGGTCGAAATATATGTTGCTCATCTATCAAAGATGAGTTTACAGATGGTTCTATTGATCGAAGAACTAATGTTTCAAACATTTTGATCAAAATAAATAAATAATAATAATAATAATAACAATAACAAAAGAGGAAAAAAGGTTTAAATCATATCAAATTAGTCATGATCCAAAATGTGTTTTTTCTGTTAGTTACATGGAACGAAAACTGGTCGGTAGGTAATTCTGATGGTATTATCAGCTATTATGTATGTAGGTAAAGTTGAATAACTTAAGATACGAGCGTCCATTAGGCACTTACTAATGTACTATACTTACCTACATAGTGTATTATATTCCTATTACATTTTATATAAAAAAAAAAAAAACATTTCATGTGTTTTTATTGAAGAATGAGTTTTTAATCGTTGAATTGTCATTCTATATATAGGTAAAATACAGTCATTAACGAGAAGAAAAATACAAAAACGACAAGGTATGGTTTTAAACAAGTAAATGATGCGTACAACGACAAAGAATAAAATATATAGACATTGAGAAACATTGTCTGGATAAAAGCCAAGAAGTGTGATCATGATAAGTAGTGGAACCACTCTATATGTACTATTATTTATAAATCTTATAATTACAGGTCCGTCGCGTCGTCCACACGCATATATGTATATATTATCTAAACTCGTTTAAAGCTTATACTTTACAGTTAAATCACGATTGGATTACATTCGTTAGCTACTTATCTACATACTATACGTCTAACATTAAGGCATCCGTGAGTCCACGACGTCGTAAAATGTACATCGCGTTAGTCACGAGCTTAGAGTGTCAGGTGTATAGACAAAGAGTGGTTCTTTTAACAGTAAACAATCATTATCTCGAAAAATATTAACATTTTAGAAAATACTTTATTTACAGAATTTGAATAAATCATCTCTAAAACAAACTTATATTGATATTCATGAATCATCATTGATAATGAGTCAGTATGAAGCATTTTCAGTTATTATTATAAGAGAGTATTCAGAGAGAAGTGTCACAGCCGCACAGGGGTAGGTACCTCACAAAAGGAGTCCGCTGCTCCACTCATCTAAACTTAAAAGTTAAAATATTTATAACTTATAACTTATAACTAATCAAAAGTTTAAAATTAATAATTTTATATTGTAAATTCTAATGACTATAATGATTTAAAAATTGTAAGAGTAGTTTCATACTGTGGACAATCAATATTCCTTAACGATTACATAATAATATTTCCAAGACGTCCATACACTAAAAATGCCCATATATGATTTATATGAATATAAGAAATTATAAGGTAGAAAACATTATGCAACACAAATACATTATTACGCAACCGAAATTCTTCCGCATCTAACTGCATACAATAGTCCAACCGACGCATGCGCACCAATATAATATTCACTTAAATGCCCAAACTATTGCTAAAACTTTAAACGAAAAACAAAATGACAATATACACATGAACACATAACCAAACGAAACATATTACCCTTCGTGCAAATATTACTAAAAGCCAACGATATCATGCGAATTACAGCATAATGCACGTCAATGCGCACAATGTAACTCACACTCAAAGAAATAAAATATTAGTCTTAAAATGTCATACAAAGAGAAAATGACACATAAATACATGAACAAACTATGAACCCCTTTCATACAAATATTACAAAAACCAATAATGACATAATATGAACAGAATATGGCATTTACTCAAGCACCTAAGCAACAAAGTACCATTGCAGAAACTAAACGAGATGAGAATAAAAATAGCAACAATACAACATCGAATATTCACTACAGTACTTACATGCATGAACCTATATAAATATTATACTAACTTACAAAGTCGTAATACCAAATATTTCTTTCATCACTATAGGTACTAAGCAAGTATAACTTACACCACAGAAACACATACTCCGCGCATACGCACAGTGTAACTTTCACTTAAAATATTGTACAAAGGACCGATAATAACACTAACAAACATACGATATAACAATACACTGTATTCGTAGAAATAGTCCAAATAAACCAACGAAAATTTGCAAAATACGACAAAATATGTACGCACATGCGCACAATACGACATTTGGTCAAACAACCAGAGATCACTGCTAAAACTATTCTCAAAAAGAATAATAAGATAGCACATAACGTGGCGAAACACCTTTATATCAATATTCCAACGACCATATGCGGAAACACAACATGAATACGCCGCACATGCGCAATTGACATAACAAACACTAACAATCATATCTGAATTAACGTAATAAGTAATAACAATAGAGTGGGGATAAAACAATCGATTCCTTATATAAATGCCACTTACAGACAATATACTCAGTACAACAAAGCAGATCAACACAGATGAACACGACGACGGCGTACACATCGAAACCACACAACACCGACCAGTTTTTCTTTTCACAAAGTTAACTTACTATTGCGTTTGCTCTAACACCAGGATAGTGTAGTCTAAATCTTAAAGTGTTAATAACGTGCATCGACTCATGCCAATCAGAGACTTACACATTCCAACGAGAGTCTACACACCTTGCTCACTACAATACGAGGTAAGTAAATATATATGTTTTCATTGTTCTAAGAAATTTCACCAGCGACAAAAAATCTGTTATGAAAAAAGTTGGACAAAAAGTAATGTTTCATTTTTTGATTGTCAGACGAAAAGTCGTAACACGTTTTTTATTTTCGGACAAAAAGTTTAAAAATACCAGATATTCTATTGAGTACATTTTTATTTATAATTATATTATGTTGTATAGGTAATAGGTAGGTTGCAAATCATAATATAATAGGTATTTCATATATAATTAATATTTATTTAATATATTTAGATAATTAATTATTAATTTTAATTTAGCATAGTAAGTTGTAGCACATTAGTTAAAAAAAAATATATACAAATAATTATTTTGTTACATATCGTATTCACTTATTACTTACAACAAATAATTGTAACAGGTACATTTACTCAGAACAATAAATTAAAAGTTTCAAAAAACATTAAAACAAACTTCAAAATAATATATAAGAAAAAATATAAATCTTTTGGTTTTGCCTAAATATAGTTAAGTTGGTGTCGTTCTGATGTATAGTAGGTTACAAGTGGGTCACAATAATGGGTTGTGTTAAATTTTGAATTCAATGATGTAAAATGATGACAAAAAATGATTCTGAGCAAATCCAGTCTGTCGGCCTATAATATTAATAAATATTTGTAATGTTTTGGTTTATGTATGTAATTTATTTTACTATTAGTCATTACAATAACAGTGGGTTAAATTTATTTTTCCCAAAAAATACATTTGAAAATGTCATGGTGTGTATAAATATAATAGGTATACTTGTACAAGTTTCTTATTACAAACAAATAATATTTTTAAATTACAACAAAATATTTAAAATCATTATTCTCGGTTTTAATATGTAATTTAGTCTACATTTTACAATAAAATGTCTGTAAAGAAAGACTCCGCTCAGAATCTAAAATAGTCAATACAAACCTCGATCACTACAAAAATCCGACATTCAATAGTTACAGTCGACAAAAACATCAGATTAATATGTATGTATCTGCTAACCAACTGTAGTGGATTTTAATTATATTGTTGTTAGGGTAGGTATAAGAAGAAGAAAATATAAAAAAAATATATAATCATATAATCATATAACATAATATTATAATATATATACAATAATTAGTAATAATGAATTGACAATAGAATAATAGAAAAACTTATTGTTTAATAAATTTTTATTATTATTGTAGAGTGATCGGATGTTTGATTTGACTATTTTTTTTTTACTTTAACATAGTTTTATACTATTTAAAAGAAATATTTTTTCTTATATATTTTTGAAACTTACTCTATATTGACTATTATTTTAAATTTTTTTATGGAATTATACTAGATTATACAAGCAGCAGGTAAGTGATAAGTATAAAGAAACTATTGTTGTAGGAACCAAAAATAGTATGGTATTGATGTTTTAGTTGATTTTTATATTGTTGAAGGAACAACATATGGCACTTTTAAATAATGCACTTTTAATATTATCTACACCTCTATTTATCATAATATGTATGTATTGAATTGACTTTATAAAAGATTTCTTTTTAATTTCGCCCCATTAACACGAATTAATAGTTCATCACTACTAAGATTGAGTTCAGTTTTTCTTTCAATGAGCCTTTTAGAAATTTCATATTTTTAATAGGGTAAAACATTAATTGTGCTTCATAATTTGCCCTTACTAAATATTTAATTCAACTAAAATTTTAAAAGAGGGTCTTGCTGAAATTTTTTTAATTCTTTGTTTTGCTTCGCACCTCTTTCATAATTAGTGAACAACAGGACCATGCTTTTTTTATCATAGAAGAATAAAGAGTAACAAGATCATTTTTACAACATTTTAAATAAAGTTCATTTATTTCTCCTACGACGGTCTCTAATAAAAAACAATTATTTTCTTCAAGTGATGTTGACAATGCAATATCTAAGACTCTAATAAATAAAGGTTCCAAATTGGCTCACCTATTGGCACAAAATCACCGATAAGTATATCCAAAATAACTGATGACATATAACATTTTAAGTGCCGATTGTTTAATGTTTCCTACATCATAATAATCATAATATCATCATAATAATCAAATTCAAATATAATGTAATATTAATAAAACTAATTAAATTTTTTAAATAAATATTAAATTTAATAGAATATTTTGTATTTTTGGACTTTTTGTCCAATTTTCTTCAAAATGGACTTTTTGGCAGAATTACCTTGTTATACATAGTATATGACATGTATGTATTGTATGTTTACAGACGCTTACTCGACACCCGACACATTACGTCTCGTACGAATATCAGGCGTACCTCTTGGAATATTTACACAACTTGTGCTGTACTTGCCAATGAAAATGAAAGCAATATATTCTGTGTTTGTTTACATATCGTTAGCAATTGCATTATGTTCAACCAATGTTTCCACGTTCTGTGGAAACGATGAACAGATCGAAGATTTACAAAGAGCGTTAATAACACAGGAATTAAATGTCATGACACTGACAACAATAAACGCAGTTCAATACATGTCCAGTCGGTTTGCTTTGTATTTGAAAGGAATATTTGAAGAAATGGAAAATTCATTGAATACGAATCATATAGACTACAGACAGTGTTCAGAAATTTTGGAAAATATTCTAACAGCAAACAAAATCGTCCAGTCAACTAGTTTTGGGTGGTCTCTTGTGTCAATGTTACCGGTTGTTGGTTTGGCACTTTTACCTTCGAGGTTAGCTACTTCGGTATCTTCTATGTTACTTATAAGAGAAAGATTAGCAAGTTGGCAAAATGCCGGTTGCCAATATGCTACAAAAAGAGATTGTAATTTCTGATGATTAAATAAATGTATATTAATGATATAATTTAAATATGATTTGATTGTAAACGATAATAATACCTATATATCAGTTTTATCATAAAATAAATATTCTAAATTATACCGTATTATGTTTGATTTCCTTTTAAAAAAAACTATTTGTTAGAAATAGTTATATTTGCAAAAAACTATTTTTTGCGTTTATATTTTTATCTAGTAAATGTAAAAAACTGGTTGTATACAGTATTATAGTAGTCAGTACAATATGTATACCCATGTTATCGTTTCATATTATTATCTATACTATAAAAGCAAGTCCAGATTTTGAGTCACGGTTTGACTGAGAAACGGCTTGACCGATTAGTCTTATTTTTTTTTTTAGTTCATAATTGTCAGGACAAGGTTCTTATGAAAGAAAATTTTAGGAAAATCCAGCGTAAGAGTAGGAAATCTGGAAGTCAAAAATACAAAAGTGGCGCCATCTCTCCAGGATAAAAATAAACATAATATTAACAATGTATTATTTTTATTGCAAGGTTGCTATTCATGGTTATGTCATAGTTTTAGTTTGTTATTTTGAAGAATTTTACTAAAATTAAATGAGGAAATCAAAAATTTCCGCCCCACAAATGGTGCCAAGAAGATGCGCTTATCGAGGAACAATATAGTTGAAGATGAAATTAATAACTGTATGTTGAGTTAGGTAAGTAAAAACAAAAAACTTTAAAGTTTAATTACACTTACGTAATGTAATGATGCAAAAAGGCATATCATTTGCGCCTAAATTAATATTTTATAATTTATAAAGATAGTTATTTAAAAATGTCAATCTTATAAAACATTTTCAATAAATATAATAGAAATTATTAAATTAAAATTTTAATAAATCGGTTGATTTTTTTTTTATTTATTATGATGTCCTAGTTGGATTTCTTGATCTGGTAATAGTTTAGCTTACAACTTTAGATACCTAATATGTATAATATAAGACGGTGTGGTGATACCACTTAGGTACTGATCAGATATCTATTTTTATTTTTACGACGTGAACGTTTTGTATTCATAGTTAATATTATATTATAATGGTTAGGTCATGATCCTTCCACTTGCGTTCCCGAATCTATGGGGTAATATATTTTTTATAGCATAACCAAATCATTTTAAATGTAATAAAATATAAATAAATATAACTACTTACAATAACTATTTATAATTTATATTTAGGTAGGCAACAATATTAAATACAATATATTATATATATTATTTATTACAAGCAAAACCCGTGCACTTCGTTGCCCCTTAAATGTACCAAATCTATATGACTCAAGTTTTGTACAATTTGTTATTTAATATTCGGTGTAATTAAACTTTTCCGTTGCCCGGAATAAAAATTCTGATTCGCAGCGTTATATTATCAGGTAGGCAATCTATTTGTGGTAGATCGCTGACCCCGTGAATATTAGTATAATTCAAACCATGTAAGCACACGTCCCTGTACAATGTCGTTTTCTAATAGATACTTATGCAGTTACGATATAGCTGTGCAACACCTTTACTATCGCTTTCTATATTATATACGGATACGGGATGGCCTCGATTGTTCATATAAATAGGGCCTTTGATGTATGTAATACTCACTTGCACAGACGGTGTCATACCGAGTGTACGCGGTGAGTGTGTACAGTCACAGTTTAATTGTCCAGTTGTACGTTATTATATATTATACTTATACATAATCATATGTCGTGTTATTACTTATTATATTATGCTAAAATCACTAGTACGTCAAGCTTCACTTTCAACAGATATAATATCATTGTATAAGAAAAACGATTCTGAGCGGAGATGGTATGTCAGTCTAGGTATAAGACATATTATATACTTATCTATTGTATTCAAAAAAAATGACCTATAATAGGTACTTATAATAGAATCCAAATTAATCGTATCACAATATCCATTAGGTACTTATAACGTGTTGTACATCAACAACAAACCCTGATACTATCATAATTCATAGATATATATTAGTGTACTTTAGAAGTTTCAAGTACCCACGAATAATATTATACAATCACAACAAAATAACAAATTCATGGAAAAAATTCCTATTTTTTCAAATGGGTCTTTTCAGAAAAAAAACCCTATAAAACCACCGATTATTACTTTTACATTAAAAACCATCGTGTTTTTGGGTTTTTTGGGGTTTTATTTGAAAAAAAAAAACGAAAAAACACAACCGGGTTGGGTTTTTTGTATAAAGTACGGGTTTTTGAAAGCCCTGATTAAATCAACATCGTAACCAACTACTCAATCTCAATCTATTTTTGGGCTTTAAATGCTTATAAAAAAGAACTGATTTTTAATATTTTTCATCTGTCTTTGAAACAATATACTAGAAGACCTCTATTAAATTTTCAAGCTTTTTTAAACAACCAATAACATTTTATTGATATTTATAGAAAGAAAACTAAAAAAATTGAAAGCTGAAAATGTCCTTAAACAGCTCAAAATAAGTCAAAATATTTTTAAAAAGACATGGTGTATAGAAAATGGTAATATAAACAGTCGGTAAAAATTGCATGTATCTAATCGATTTTCTCGAAAACAGATTTTGCTTAAAAATTCTCGTTTTTCCTTAATTTTGATTTTGTTTTTCACGGTGTTTTGAAAACTACTGGGACATTTTTGCTTTTGACCCTCCCAAAGTACCAACTAGATTCACTTTACTATCAGAAAAGATACTGTTGAAGAAAGTCCAAGCACTTTTACTGTCCTAAAATGTGATGACTGACCCAAAAATAGAGAAAAAAAACACACATCTTTGTAAAATCAATATATTCATCGTTCCACTCACAATCTAAAATTTAATAGAAGACTCCTAATATATTGTTTCAAACACAGATAAAAAATATTAAAAAACCCAGTCACAATTTTTTTTTTTTCATAAGCATCTAAAGTTCAAATATTGACAAAATACGTAAAAATGACGGAAATTTACAAATTATTCCGAGTTAGAAATTCATAAAAATTTTTCTTTTTAAATCTAATATTTAAAAATGTAATACAAGATTCCCATGCATTTGTCTACCTTTATCAAAATAAAAATGTCTGCACGAAACTCAAATTAAATTTTTATGAATTTTTGAAATTCATATTTTTACAACATTTGATATTCACACGATTTCTTATGTAACGATTTTCTTATTTTGTTGTAGTCAAAAAACGATAACTGTAGTTACTTGAAAATTTTACTGAATGTTTATATTATCATTTTCTATACACGATCAAATTTTGAAAATATATTGACTTTTTTTAAGTTGTTTACGGACATTGTCAGTTTTCAATTTTTTTAGTTTTCTTTTTCTATAAATATCAATAAAATTGTATTTGTTGATTAATAAAGCTTGAAAATGTAATTCAAGGATCCTGAAATATTTTTACAATAGCAGTTGAAAAATATTTAAAATACATAGGCACAATTTTTTTTCTAAATTATAAGCATTTAAAGATCGAATTTTGACAACATTTATCAAATTTAAAATTGAATATTTATTTTGTATTTAAAAATGTAGAAAATGTTCAACTTTTATATTGAGAGCTGCTCATGTCACATCCATGTTTTCATTGTCTATAGTAAGAGGTAGTAACTTGAAAGCATTTACCACATTTTTTGCGTTATCTGTGATAACACTTGAAACTTTCCATTAATTTCCCAGTCATTGAATATACATGTTCATTTTGTGTTAGATTTACTGCTGTATGTTTTTCTTCCATCTCTTGCGTGGCTGAAGTTAATGATATATATGAGTGTTGCTGAAGACCAACCATCAGTGGTACAAATTTAGCTTTTACATTTCTCAATTGCAAGTAACTTTCAGTATTTTAGTAACTCGAGCTAAAAACTATAGGCTATAACGCTTTGCCCTTGTGGCTCATGTGATGTTTACACTCCAAACTAATGACCTATATAGTATCTTAAATTAAATGTTGTCGACAAGAATATTTATGGAGAGGTGTGATGGCATACGATTAAACGTAATAGTAATAGTAAATCAGATATGATTTGCATTTAATTCATAATATTGTTTTAAATATTATTATATATTGTTGTATCGAAAATTACTGCAGTAATATATAAATTAATAATGACACAAGTCGTTCTATTTAGGAGCGAATACAGGACGATGGCAATCGCGTGAAAATATTAGTTACCTATGTAATCAGATTTTATATAGTGAAAATATAAGTAACACATATATTTTTTTTTACTAGAAATATTATACAATCTATATGTTTAAGCACAATAAGTATAATGTGAGATTAGAATAAAAAAAAAACATTATGAGGTAGCATGGATAAAGAGCCACCCATTAGTAGCACTTAGCTTTTAAGTATAAGACAATATTCAACAGGAAAATATAATGACAATAAATAATAATAATAACAATAACAATAAAAGGAAAATAGGTGTACATAAATATAAAATTAGTTACGATCCAAAGTGTGTTTTAAAGGACGAAAACTGATCTGTAGGTTATTCTGATTTTATTATCAGCTATTATGTCTGTAGGTACAGTTGAATAATTTAGGTCCATTAGGCACATACTAATAAACTATACTTTTTATCTTAGAATGAGTTTTCAATTTTCGTTAAATATATAGGTATAATATAGTCATTAACGATAAGAAAAATACAAAACCGACTAGGCGTGGCTTTAAACAAGTACAGGTTGTGTACGTCGACAAAGAATAAAATAAATAGACATCGTTCGGATAAAAGCCAAGAACTATATATATACTATATGTACTATTATTTATAAATCGTATAATTACAGGTCTGTCGCGTCGTCTACAAGCATATTGGTATATATTATAAAAACAAGACAACTGAAACATAGTTTATAGGTAGCTTATACTTTACAGTAAAATCACGATTGGATTACATTAGTTAAGTACCTACCTACGTACTATACTTCTAATATTTAGGTGTCCGAGAGCCCATGACCTCATAAA